TATAATGAAAATTGTTTATATAATACATTAACAAAATATAAGACGCAAGGAAAATCTCCATCCCTTTTTGGATGCAAAGAGGAAAAGGCAGAGGTATTTAGTGCCTTCCTTGCCTCAGTCTTCAGCAGAAAAACTAGGTATTTTCAAGGCAACCAGCCTCCTAAGCTGGTAGACAGGGCCAGGGAACAGAACAGACTCCTTGAAATCCAAGAAAAAGTAATTAGAGACCTATTGTCCCACTCAGACACTCAGAGGGCACTGAATGGGATCCATCTGGGGGTACTGAAGGAGATGGTGGAAGAGCTTGCTAAGGTGTTCACCATAATTTATCATCAGTCTTGGCTAACCAGAGAGGTCCCAGACAATGGGAGCTTGGCCAGTGTGGTGCCCATCTACAACAAGGACCTGAAGAAGTATTTGGGAAAGTACAGGCCTGTCAGCCTGACCTCAGTGCCAAGGAAGATTATGGAACTGATCATCTTGAGTTCCACCATGCAGCAATTGCAGGACAATCAGGGGATCAGCAGCCAGCAGGGATTTAGAAAAGGCAGGTCCTGCCTGACCAACTAGATCTCCTTTCATGACAGGTGACCTGTCTCATGGATGAGGGAAATGGCTGTCTAGCTGGACTTCAGTAACACCTTTGATACTGACTCCCACAACATCCTCCTGGGAGAGCTGTCAGTCCATGGCTTGGACAGGTGCACTTTTTGTTGGGTTAAAAATTGGCTGGACAGCTGAGTCCAAAGTGTGGTGGTGAATGTGGCTGGTTCCACATCCAATTGGTGGCCAGTCACTAGTGGGGTACTCTAAGGCTCAGTATTGGGACCAGTCCTGTTTAACATCTTTATCAAAGGTTTGGATTGAGTTACCCCCAGTAAGTTTGCAGACAACATCAGGGTGGGTTGTAGTGTTGATCTACTAGGAGGCTGGAAGGCTCTGCAGAAGGATCTGGACAGGTTGGATGAATGGGCCAAGACCAATGGTATGACATTCAATAAAGCCAAATGTGAGGCCACACTCTGCCCACAACAGCCCCAGATATCCTTTCAGGTTTGGGTCAGAATGGCTGGAAAGCAGCCCAGCAGAAAAGGGCCTGGGGATCCTGGTTGACACCTGGGTGAACATGAGCCAGCAGTGTGCCCTGATGGCCAAGAAGACCAATGGCAGCCTGGCCTGTGTGGGGAATAGTGTGGCCAGCAAAGTCAGTGAGGAGATCGTCCCCCTGTACTCAGCACTGGTGAAGCCACACCTCAAATTCCTTTTCCAGTTCTGTGCCCCTTACTCCAACAGAGAAATGGAGGCTCTTGAGCATGTCCATAGAAGGGCAATGGATCTGGTAAAAGATCTGGAGTGCTCCTGTGAGGAGCAGCTGAGGGAGCTTCCATTGTTTAGCCTGGAAAAAAGAAGGCGCAGGGAGGACCTTATCACTCTACAGCTACAAGAGAAAGGAGGTTGAAGCAAGGTGGGGGTCTGCCTCTCCCCTGGAAACTGGTGACAGGACAAGGGGAAGTGTCCTTAAGCCATAGAGGAGGTTAAGATTGGACAATTTTTTCACTGTAAGGGTGTTGAAGTATTGGAAAAGGTTGCCTAGGGAGATGTTGCAGTCATCATCCCTAGCAGTGTTCAAGGAGCAGATTCGCATGGCACTTAGTGCTATGGTCTAATGATGTGGTGGTGTTCAATCAAAGGCTGAACTCAGTGATCTTGGAGATCTTTCCCAGCCCTAATTATTCTATGATAATAAATACTTGATTCTAACATGTAAGCCGGTGAAGCGAGCACAAGACATTGGCCAACTAAAAGTGTTTTCTCTTATGCTTTGCTAAAGAGTAGAAAATAAACCAAAATTGGACCCTGGTATTGGATCTTCTGCACTTTTTTTCTATTTGAAAACAGATTGCAGTATTTACTAGCGAAGAAAGAACATGTTCTGTGATTAGGGTCTGAGCTTTATTGTTTTGTAGGTTAACAAAATGCTCTTAAAACACAACTTATTGAGAAAGAACAGAGAAATTGTCAAGCAGGAAATAAACACAAAGATACTATTTTCTTTACTCATTTTCAGGGATTTTAATTCAGAACACTTTTCCCTCCCTCAGGTTAATATCACCTTTCTCAAAATGGGATGGTGAGGTATATTGTCAGAAGAAAGTTTAAAGTATCCAGATTCACTCAGCTAAAAAGTGAATCTTTCTTTTTCCCCCTCTGCTCTTGAGCTTATTGACAACTTCATCTTCAGATGATGACATATAAGCTGGAGGTTGATTTCAGATCTGTGTTGCTTTCTCATAAATATCATCATCTTTGATGAGGGCATTTTGGCTATATTTTTGGTTTATTTTTTTACCTGAATCTGCAACAGCTCTTCAGGGAAGTGCATGTAACATTTTTGGGAAGACAATTTTTGATTTATTCATGAACTCCTGCAACAAATAGATTTTCAGTTCCAGCAGTGACTCATTTGAAGTAGTTACTGCTGGCAACAGTGTCTGAATAAACTGGTTATATGTGTAACCCCCTGCTTTTTTGGATGATTTTTAGTAATTCACTACAGATGACTCCTTTCTTCTGACTTTGCTAGCTGGCATCATGCTTGTTTCCTAAAGCCTTTTTTCTTTCCTTTCCTCCTCCCTCTTTCTACCTGTTAAATATTTTCTTTTTTTGCAGAGTCCTCTGCTGTAAAAGCATAGAGGAGAGCACCCATGACAAATGCAGATTGTGTAAGCATCTTCATTTAGATTGTTATTTAAAGTTCAACTTTCATGATTAGTCAAATGAATCAAAAAGATAATTGAGAGAGAGATTATGTGACACAGACATTAGTCACTACTGCTGATTGTTGGTTATATGTTTTTTTATCACCTATACAAAATAGGTTGGTACCAAGCTGGTATTCACTGAATATTTAAGAAATTGGACTTGGAGTGAATTTTCTTAAATTTTCTTCTACGTTTTTCATCTTTCTGTTTCTTTTTATGGAAGAAAGCCTCGGAAGAAAGCCTCTCTGTGGCTTGAAAAAGGTGTACAGAGAAGGTCACTCATTTTTTCAAACCTTGTTTCTTGCAGCTGAATCTGTTACCATGTGCTTCTTAGTCACTGAGTGACAATGGTATAACTCTCGCACCCAATCCCTCCCATTCCATTTAACATATCAGTGTCTTTGAAGAGTTTTGTGCCCTTCTGGTCTGAGGGATAATGCATTATGCACTGCTGTAGTTTTGCACACCTGACTTCTGGAGTTAATGAGATTCTGGAGTCAGAACTTCTAAAATCTGTTTGAGATCACAATCTTCAGTCCTCTGCATGATGGAAGGATTCTGTTTTGCAATTTTCTCTTAAAATTTTTGTCTTCATAGATTTCAGTCTTGTTTTCAAATGCCTATCACTACAGAATCACTAATCTTGAGCTCAAGGCTTTCAGTGATGACCAACTGTTTTTTTCCTGTGCTGTAACAATGGTTCTTCTCCAGGGAAATAAACTTGATAGGCATTCTGTTCTGTGTTTTGTGACTGGAGCACACTATGCAATTATTGTTACACAGCTTTTGTCCAATGTCAAGCTTGTATCCCCACATAAGTTCTAAATGTGAGGGGTTCTCTCATCTCCAGGTACTTGTAAGTGAAGGTACAGTTTCTAGTTGTTAATGGTTGTTTTTTTTTTTTTTTTTTTTGTAATAGGAAACCTTGTGGCAATGATGCAGAACATAGATCAGAGCAAACTTACACAGCCTGGGTAGGAAAAACAAGTCTATTTTAGTAATATTTTTTTCAGTGTTTTGGTCTTTTATATTGAGGGAAAGGTGCTATATGCGCCCTCTGCTTTGCTTGGTGAATAAATTGTGGCTTTAAATAGTATTTTGATAAAAGAAAAATTTTCTTACATGTCTGAGTTCAGGTGATCATACATGTGTGCTCCCAGCCTAGTGGGGGCCTATTTTTGCTCCTGTTACTAAGCAATCTGGGCCACTGAGAAATATCCATAGCACACATTCTGACTTAGAACTTGGCCTTTATGAGCAGCTTGCAGAAACTTTTCTGTGCATCTTAATACTCAGAGGTTATACATTAATTAGAAGACCTCATCCTTTAAACTGAAGAAGCCTATAAGAGAGCCCTATCCACTGTCCAATCCCTTAACTTCACAGCTATCCCTGAAATTGGTCTGGATGCTCCCTTGTGGAACAGATTTCTGCTAGGCTGGAAAAAGGCCACAATCTGAACCTCACGCTGCCTGCAGGAGTGTGCTGTGTGTGAAGCCACAGAAAGCTTCATTTCTATTCAATAACTTCTATACTATGAAAAGAAACGTTTTTCTTTTTAAAATGCACATATTAGAGAAATTAGTCCCTCAATTACTCAATTACAAAGCTATCCAAAGCAGAAAACTGAGTACTCGGGACAAATGGAGACATTCACCTTGAAGTCTTTATACTGTTGAGAATTATATGATATAAACAGGATAAGGAGACAGGACAGGGAGTTGATAGTTTCCTGTTTAGTGTTTGGCACTTTTTAAAATTTTTTTTTAATTTACTTGATGTATGGCAACCTCAGGTTCTCTGGTGGGTCTGTGGATCAGCATGCTGGCACCTACAAATGCACTGACTACCTGGGAAATCCTAATTAGCTGATTTTGAGTCTGCCCTGTTACGACAGTAGAGCATTTAGGATTTTAAATAAATAAAATGTGTAAGGTTACTCAGGAACTATTCAACCACTAAAATGTATATAATAAATACCTTCAAAAATCTGGATAAAAATTTACATAGTGTGCTTGGTTAATTGAATATTTTCTTCCCACAAGAATACACAGATTTTTTTACGCAATGATCAGTTACTCATAAAAATCTGAAAATTAGTTTTATAATTTACCCAAGCATATATTAAATGTCAAAAAAATACACTGCTGCAAAGGATGTGGTGGCTTGCCACCAATGGAAATGACTCAGCTAGCTTGTTTAAAGAATGATATTTTAATTGCTCTGTAGATCACAAACCTGCCAGCCTTGTAATTTACACTGCTGAAGAACAAGACGACATCTCTCCTTGGCACTCAACTTCTTCTTCTCTCCTGCTGCAGTATCAGCCAAATCTTTATACCTAGAAAAATCAGCAGAAGTAGTTACTCTAGTGTTGACTTTATTGACATTTTGTAGAAATTGTCAGTTTTCCTTTGACTCTCAAAGGAATATCCAAACTGGAAGGCTGGGATTTGATCAGGGTGAAGAAAACAAGAAGGCAAACTGCTCTAAATCTTGTATATTTTTAGACATGACCTTGGTTAATAACAAGTGATGCCTAAAACCCAAATTTACTTCCTGTCAGTTCTTTGGATGCCTCACTGAAAATCAGTGCCAAAGGAATGAAAAGCGTCCCCAGTGAAGATCACTGGGACTGAACTGGGTCATTGAAAGGAAGAAAATAAGTTTTCAGTATGTGTCATACAACTTATGCCTCTTAATGTGTAATTCATAAGAAAGCAACATTGACAAAAATTATTTTCATCAATCTGAAATGTATTTCATTTTGAACAGAAGGTCATGTAGCAAAGAGACTTCCAGGAACTAGATCAGTTTTACACTACTGGAAAGAAGTTCAAGAGGATAATTGATTATAGCATTGAGTACCTTCAAAGACAGAAAATGCTGGATATTAAAGGTCTCTTTGATGTACCATATAAAAATATCAAGAAGGAAACTTAAGTAATACAAAGTCCAATAAAATATAGAACTCAAACTTTCACTGTCGACTTACTAAATTTATTGTAACTTATTACTAAAAAAATTAATGAATTTTATACATCTTAATGCTACATAATATTACTATACTTTCTTGGAGGTATTCCTTTGTCTTGATCTGACTGCATGTAATGAGTCAGAATGTTTTTTGATACAAAAAGCTAGGCTTTGAAAAGGATATACACTTTGCAAAATGCCTCTTTTGATTAAACTCCCAGTGAAATTAAGAAGTTTTGAAGTTTGTGTGTTAATTACATTTCCTGCTATTTAATTAATTTATTTATTTAACAGCTGAATTCACCTATATCTCTGCTACAACCCAAAATATTGCTGTCTTGGGATCCCTTTCACACACCATGGTAGGCAAAGCTGCAGTGCTAGAATGACTCCAGGGACCTCAGTTGTCCCAGAAGATGTGGCAAGTCTGGAGCAACATCTACAGGTAAACTGCTGTAGGACCAAATTTCACCTAGACTTCTAGTTTGGTGCAGCTGCACAGACCCTGGGGTACCTCAGCTCCTGCAGTCTGGAGATACTCTCTTGTCTGGTAGCAGTTCTGCTGAGGACCACATGGCTAAGTCTACACTAGTAAATGAAAAGTGAGAGGGACTGCTTCTCTGGCATAGAAGCCATCTGGAAAAAACCCTAGCCTGATGATTTATTTATACATGTAATATTACGTAGTTTGCTCTGTTCTTTTGAACTGTCTCCTTCCAACAGAGTGTAACCATGTCTAAGCTGCCTTCTCTGATTGGTCACCAGCCTGTCCTAGCTCCCAAATTGTGCCCAAGAAATGTTCTGTGGTAAGAAGGGTCCAAAACTTCATCACAGATCCTTGTATTTAGTCTCACAATCCAGTTTAGCATTAGAAAACTGGGGATATTCAACTAGCTGCATGGTCATAAGGACATTTATTTTACAGGTTTCTATTAAGGCTGGAGTCACCTTATTCCCCTACTTGCATTAACAGTTTTTTCTTAGAAGTCATGGGAAATCAGAGGTGTTAGAGAAATAACTGCTGGAAAGCTTAGCAACTGCTGACTGAAGTGAAGATTCATGACTAAGCATTGCCTCACAATGCATGAAGAAGTAACTGCAAAAGTGGTCAGCCTGAAACTCCCTTACAGGAGAAACTGAAAGAAACTTATTTTTCCCCTTAAAAAAAACCCCAAAAAACCAACCCAAATTAAAATTTAAAAGGTTGAAGTTCTACATTTGGCTCAAGTTTTCTTTAATGTCATGAAAATGATAGAATTCAAGGATATCCAAACATTCCTTATAATCTGTATTATACAGGGTGCCAGACAAAAATGATCCACCACTTTCCTCCAGCTTTTAAAGTCTCTGAAATTCCACCACATTATCCTGTCTAATCACAGCGCACAATCCCCTTCTATCTATGAAAGCAAGCACTATCTTAGAAAAGGAGGATTGGTTATAGTAGTAGAGAAAGAGGAAGCTATGGAAATTTAACTCTGCCATAAACTTCCTCTGTGAATACAGCAGGACATTTGGAAGATGGTCTACTTTCCCTATGTTAGACACTGAAAAGCTGTGCTAGCCTGAGTTAGTCACCTTCTTCTCAAAACAGCCTGTGAAGACAGGTATTTCCACCGTGACTTTTTCTATGCGTTCTAGATATTTTTGATAAAATGAGAAGACATTGCCCTCTGGAGGTGCCTTTCTCCACTGGCCACAGGTGGACTCAGAGGAGAAGTCCAGACTGGATGCTTTCATTTGGGTGCCTGAGAGGAAGCTCATCTTCATACCTACTTGTCTGACTGAGCTACTCACCCTGCAGTGGCTAACAGAGGGTCTAAGAGAACTTCCTTATTTGCCCTATCACTTTTTTCAAATCTACTGGACAATATCCAAAATGAAAAAGTACCTTTAATTCCTGTGTTATCATCTGTTATCAACCATTTTCATCTTGTATAAAGATAAAATCAACACAAAGTTTGCAGCTATTTTTCAGCCATAGTGGTGCCCCAATTTGACTCTCAGTCCAGCTGTGCATATACCCATGTCAATGCCAGGGAATTAATGGAAGTTCTTGAATGAATGGAATAAGAGGACTACACCTGTTGGTGGGAGCCCACATTTGTTCTGGACAAAAGGGATGGTCTAACCATAATCTTACATAATTTCTTCTGTACTTAGCTGTAAATGAGTGAAAAAATGAAAACCTTTTTCTTTAGATTGACAGTAAACTAAAATATAAAGAAGGAAATAAAAACTTACAAGTGTGACATTATTATCAAAATGCAAAATCTTTTTTGGGTATCAGGTACTTTTTAATGTGGATTGACCTTGTGTTTCCATGTAGACACAATAATTTAATATAATCTTAAATTTAATCATTCTCAGGATGAGCAAAATAATTTATTTTTTTATAATTTATTCTATCACAGAAATTACAGTATCACCGAATACTGAAATTATGATGCAAGCTTGTATAAATAAACTTTAATTACTTGCAACAAGGGGGCTTGCTTTTGGGGAAATGCAATCTGGGGAATCTTTGAAATTTTCCCTCACAGAGAATTCTTCCCCCAGCACTCCAGACTTCCTTTACTCTGAAGTTAATGAATGCAACCAATTAAGTACCAGGCTTCTTCCCACCTGACAGGTCACACACTTTGCCCCCAGTAGATAATGCAGAATGCTTAGAGAGGATCCTAAGGAATCCAGAAAGCATACTCAGTGCTACCTCGAGGCCTTTATTCCTGGAAATACATTTCAGCTAAACTTGGATTGACAAGTCACTTGTCTAGACTTTCTTAAAATTCAGTAGAATAGAGTATTCTGGTGTCATATTCCTCACTGTAATACTGATGTTTACAAGAGGTCAGATGAACTGTGCACTGTAAGACCATTGTGTCTTTTCACTGAATATAAAGATGCTCTTGCCTCCAGCCTAGACATCTAATATCAGGCAAAGTGAATCTCCTTCATAGCCAGGAAGCTAAAAATCCCCAGCATTTCATGGCTAGTCAGAGCAACTCATTCACTAAGGGATCAAAAATAAAATACAAAACAGAGGGGTCTAAAGGATTAATTTGAATCAACACCATTCCACTGCTATGCCAAGACTAATGTACTGTTGGAAGGAAGTAAATACAAAACCTCTTCTAGTTACAAGTTGAGACAGTGAACACTACTATTAAAGGAGGGTCTCCCCAGTACCCATCCACATGACATCAGTGTGAGAAAAGATCCATTTTCCCCAGCTTTTTCCTTCAGCACCCTGCTTGTCCTAACTTGTCATTTTCAGAAGCATAAACAGAAGAAAGATATTCTGGCTAGACAGGCTCACACTGTGAGCATGTACAGGCTGGCCAGGATTCTCTGGTGTTGCAGATATGTGCTTTGACCTCTCTTCCTTTGCTTCTGAATGATGTGCTCTATCAGGGAAACTTTTTATTTGTTTGGAGTAGATACTGCTGCCAATAGCTTGTGAATAGGGAAAACTCAGTTCTCTTGGGTCTTCACAGATAAGGATGTTATCTAATCATTTTCTCCCTCACCTCCCTAAGTGCACAGCTGACAAGATCCAGCAGGCTGTTTTTCCCCAAGACAGAATATTCTGCAGTTCAGGTTATGGCACAGTAACCCACAGCAATATTCTAAGGCTCAGCACGTTATTTGATTTACACAGAGTGTGCACAAATGGGCCGTAGGGCTGTACTCCCAGTTCTGTATGCACAGCAAATCTTTAAGCATTGGAATAAACATGACTCACTCAATTTCAATAGCACAACGTGACAGAAGACACTAAAGGAAAACACGGCAAGTACAAAGGGCAGGAAAACAAGCAGCTCCAAATCAATAGCTTAATAAAAGATGTCTTTGAACTGAAGCCACAGAACTACTTTTGTTGGTTGGTTGTTTTGCTGTTCTTATTCTCAGGTCTCTCTCTTGCCTCATTAAGAAAGGAACACAAAAAATAATAAAATTAGAGGTAGCTACTGCCTGCAATCCAATGTCCTCAGTAAGAGGATAGTTTCTAACACCACAAGTCAAATCTTTCCTGAAGGAAGCTCCTTCTTTCCATGTCTTTGTCTTGTTGCTTAAAAAATAAAAATCACATATGGCTGGCAGGTACCTGCTTTTAAAGAGTGATAAGTTATCTGCTTTTAAGTTTTCAATATCCAAACACAACTTATATAAGGAAAAATGAGTGACACTCTTGTCAGTATAATTCATTATGTTGTAGCTTAATTTCCTCTTTTTTTGCTTACTACAATGTACACTGTTTGCCAAGGTAAACTGGTATGATTTAATAAGATCTATTCAAAAGGTAGTGAATAAAAGGCAGCAATCAAAATTAATTTATGTCCCATATTTTTGCTAGAAGAAATA